CTTAAATGAAACCAACATGAATAATCTTGAAAACATCATGCCATGTGAAAATTTAGTGATAAAATTTACATACATTTTTATTTTTATATAAAATGTGTGAAATATCTGAACTGTGTAGACAGAAGCAGACTAGTGTCTTATTAGATCTGGAGGTTTAGGAAAATGAAAGAATCATACCTAAAAGACATAGGATTTCTTTTTGAGATGATAGAAATGCCCTAAAATTGACTATAATGGTGAAATAAAATGGTATGCAAATTATATCCCAAAAAGACTTTTAAATTAAGTGATAAATAAAACCTAGTTAGAAATACAAAAGCTAAAAAAAAGTCATTATCAGGAGATCTGTACTGCATACTAAGGAAAATCCTTTAAACAGAAAAAAAATGGCACTATGAAAATATGGATCTAGATGAAGAAGTAAAGATTATCAAAATGATAATTACTGAGATGGCAGATAGATAACAGCTGGCTACAGAGGCTCCCTGAGATAGTCAACTTGGAATTCAATATAATACAGTGTAGGGAACCCTGAACAGAGGGAGATGAATTTTCTTGTCCCAAGAAGGAAACTAAGGTTAGAAGAACCAATCAAACATACAGTCCCAGTGCTATTATTGGAACAGCTAAAGGTTCAGTGCTCCCGCCACAGTGGGTGACTTGCCAAGCCATCTGAGGTCCCCGCCACTCTGACTCACTGGAGATGCAGTCACACTGAGGTCAGGGGTTGGCCAGCTGAATGGAGAGCTGAGCTGGTTGGGAGCCAGCATCAACTTGTGGTGAGTGATGGGAGCGGAGCCATTCCACAGAAAGGGGAGCTCCAGCAGACAACATTCTGGGACCAGGCAAGACTGGCAAGTACAAGGGGCAACAGTGACTTCAGTCTGTTGTTCCCTTCCCAAACGTGATTAGTGGAGTGAGCTAGACCTGGGTCACGTGAACTGGCTGAGACCCAATAGGTTATCCGAAATCTATTCCCTATGGCAGCGGTGCACACTAATGCAGTAAAGCCTCAGAAGTTTGACTGACCCAGAGGGGAAGCCACACACAGTAATACAATGCAGGCCTCAACAGCTTGACTGATCTGGAGGGGAAGGGCCACAATACACTGCCCCTGTTTGCAACTCACTAACACACTGCAGTGGGCAGAGTCACCTAGCCAGTATGCTTCAGAAGAATTGTAACCAACAAAGAAAGAAACTGGGGCCTCCTGGAAGAAACAAAAAAGATGAGAAGAAGAAGCAACAAGAAAAGTCCCCATGTCCCAACCCTGAGAACGTTGATCCAGAACAGGTAAATACAAAGGAGAATGAGAATAGAAAACAAGCAATATCAGACATGGCACCAGGGGACATAAAGAGATATCCTTGAGACCTCATAGACGAGTTCAAAAGGGAAATATTTAGCCAAGTAAAGCAAGATATAAGATTAATAAAAGAGATGCTAAGCACCCTTCAAGAAGAAAAAGATTAAAGAAGGGAGAAACTCAAACAAAGGAGAGAACCATTTGATGAAGAATATAAAAAAAATATAGAATACATGAAGCAGATTCAAAAGAATTACCAGGAAATTGAAAACTCTATGGAAACATGGCAAATCTGCTTGAAAGAAATTAAGGATAGATTATCCAAACTGGAGGACAGTTTTTCAATGTGGGATTATGAAAGGAAAAACTTTTTAAAAATAATAAGGAAGCAAGCAGTAATAATACAAAGGCTAGAAGGTGACAAGAGGATCTATAACTTGAGAGTAAAGAATGTGAATGAAGAAGCAGGGGTACAAACAAAGGAACTACAAAGGCTATTCACAGAAATAATTAAGGAAAACTCTCCAAACATAGGAAAACGAAATGACATTCAGATGTATGAGGCATACAGAACTCCTACAACCAAATAGCGCTACACCCACGCATATAATAATCAAGATCCCAGAAATTCAATATAAGAACAGAATATTAAAAGCTGTTAGAGACAAGAAACAGATAACCTATAGAGAAAGGCCCATCAGAATAATGGCAGACCTCTCGACACAAACCATCAAGCCAAGAAGAGCCTAGAGTGAAATATTCCAAGTCCTGAAAGAAAATAACCTCCAGCCCAGATTGATATACCCTGCTAAACTGTCTCTAGAAATTAATGGAGAAACAAGATGCTTCCAAGTCAAAGAGAAACATGGGAAATTGGCAACCACTAATCCAGATCTACAGAGAATACTGCAGGGTGAGAGAGAGAAAAGAACTAGGATTGCAGGAACAGTGGCAGAGAAGCCTCAATGAATGGAGCAGAAAACAGAATGAAGAAGATAAGCAGACAACTGGTGGCAAAAAAAAAAGCAAAACAGAAATGAGGCAGAAAAGTTTGGTTATAATCTCTAATATAGATGGCCTTGATACACTAAATTAAAAAAAAAAGAACCACAGGTGGAGCAGATCAGGAGGTAGGGTCACCAAGATGCTATTTATAGGAAATATAATTAACATGAAAAAGAGTACATGGACTGAAAATAGAATATGTGAAAACAATGCTCTATGTGACAGAGAACCAGAGAGAAATAGGGGTAACTAGACCAGTATTTGTGGACAGGTTGAAAAGACAGGCTTTAATAGGTAAACGAATACAATTAGAGATCAAGTCCAGGAGAGAGAAGGTTCAGAACCACTTAGGTAAACAGCAGGTTGCCCTATCCCATTTAAAACCAAGGGTCTTGGTCAGACCCAAAAATGCAGTGTACCCTGGGGAAGTGAAAGGGGAGGGAGAGTCTTTAAAAAGATGGCAGAAGATATTGTTAATAGTGTAACAGGATTTAAAACCCACATTACTTGCTCCACTCTGCCTAGATAGATTTTATTCTTTTTTTTGATAGATTTTATTCTGTCCCAGTTTGTCTACTTGTATTAGATTTGAGAGGACAGACAGCTATCCCCAAAACATAAGGATATAGCACAATAATCATCTTTGATTTCCTATTATCTTAATCTGGAGCCCTGTATGACTTACACTGTTTTATCATGACTGATCTTAGTTAAATCTAGTTTGTTTGATTGCTGTTTGGTATCGACAGAATTTACTCAAAACTGATACGATTGATAGCATCACGTCTGAGAGTATAGGCAACTACACTGAAGATGACAAGACTCTATGATACACATTCTGGTTTGATAATTGTGTGCTTTTGAAGTTTTATACTATATACAAAGTTCTGGTTTTATTAATACTGTTACATACTGATATATTCAATTATACTATGTCTGATGATATAACCAATTCTATTGAAGATAACAAGAGACAACACAGGAACTATGATAGAACTCCTTATACAATGGTCTTAAATGTCTTTCTGATTTCTTGTGTTTATAAGAATATGGTTTGTTTTGTCTTGCTTTGTTTTGTTTCTCCCTCTAGTATAAAAGGATAGAAATACATGTTAAGACTCATGCATGTGTAGAATCTATAAACAGCTTATGAGAACTGATCTTATGACACATGATGAAATGAACAGATACTTTGAAGAAAAAGAGACACTAAAGTACCCAGTGCTGATCCTGGAATGTCATAATGTGAAACCCAGCAATAGTATTATTCTTTGTTCAGAGAGATGTTAGACTGCTTGGGTTTGTTCAATCTCAACATAATTGAAGATAAGGATAACTACATGTATGTTTAAGAATATAGGATTGATAACCATATTTCTAAGTTTTTGTTGGATAGTTGAACAGAACTGGTAGCAGTCTCACTGTTTGAATCCCCACATTATATGCTTCACTTTAGTATCTTGAATAACTATTTGTAGGAGGACAGTCTGTAATCATCGACTAGTGATTTCTTACTGTTTATTTTTTTTCTTTGAAAGTATGTATTATTTCTACTCATTTTTGTTTTGTTTAGTCTTTCTTTAAATAAAAGAAAAAGACACTACAGTACCCAGTGCTGATCCCGGAGTGTCATGATGTGAAGCCCACAAATACTATTCGTTTTTCAGAATGACTTTAGCCTGCTTTAGTTTGTTTAATCCCAACATAAATGAAGACATGGATAACTGCATGTATGTTTAAGTGTATAGGATTGACAACCATATTACTAAGTTTTTGTTGGGTAGTTGAACAGAACTGTTTGCAGCCTCACTGCTTGAATTCCCACTTTATATGTTCCACTTTTTTATCTTGAACAACTATTTGTAAAAGGACAGTATGTAAATATCAGTGATTTCTTACTGTTTATTTTTTCTCTGAACGTATGTATTATTTCTACCCATTTCCTGTTTTGTTTAGTCTTTAATAAAAAAAGAAAATATATTCAACATCATTGGTTGTAGGAGACAACTCCAGTGTCTCCCTATGAATCCAAAACAATTACGGTGACTTTGATTACTTGGAGACTCATTTCCTCATACTGATATTTGAAAGGCTGGCTAGGATATTTCCTTCTCTCTTCAATTGGCTCTAAGCATTGCAAATATGGCTAGTCGAGGTGTTAATATGCAAAGTCTGGCCATCAGACAGCCATGTTTCCTCACATGGTACTCTTCACATTACAGGATTGAGCAGGCAGATGCAGACTAGACTCCGGGAATGTCAACTGGGAAGGAGTCTCAAGATAAGAGGCTATGACTCCCCAGGGCACAAGAGTTTACATAGCAAAAAACCGAAGCAACAGCCCCCAAAACAATTCTCCTGCTACCTGTTATACTAAGATGCTGAAAAATTAAAATAATTGATTAAAAGATAATTAGCAAAAATAGTTAAAAGGATAGTTATTAGCAGTATTGTCATTCTGTACTGAGCTCATTACCCTAGTAACGAAGCACCAGCCACATATTTATAGATTAACTGGCCACATCGTTATGCTGTTCTGTATGCATCACCCCCCAAAGTAACCTGTGTGCTAGTCAATTTTTGTTCCCCTTGTAAGAGACAAATGATGCTGTGTCAACTATTGTTCCCTTTATGAGAGACAATTGTTGTAGTCTGGGATTGTACACAGAGAACAATTCAGATCAGGACATGGAGTTTATAATATTTTTATAATGGTCACCAGAAGTTAACACAGGAGAATGCAGGAAATCCATCCGCAACACCAACGACATAGATTATTTAGTCAAGAGTCTAAACCCCATGGCAATGTCCCAAATGAGTCCAGATAAAAACCCAGAGCTCAGAACAATGCCTCCATGAGGCCAACTGGAAGTCCAGAGCCCACAAGAAGGACTCACGCCAGTCTCTTTTACGGATTCGTGCCGGGAAGACCCAAGGGTCAGTGGTGGAAGCCAGAAAGTCTATGCCAGAAGGATGAAGGAGCTGTGCTAGTGGGATGAGGGTTCTACACTGGAGCTGAGAAGTCACACTCACAACAAAGAGTGGGGCTGTCCTGAAAGGAACCACAGCTGTCCTCGGCAACACGGAGGCCCCGAGCTCCTCTGACGACAAGCACAGTCGGGTACGTGCCAGGGAGCAGCGTGAGTAGTTCATCCTGGAGACCAGGCAGCACATGTCTTCCCCTCCGGAGCCAGGAAGCAATGCTCGATGAACTTCTCCAGGAGAACCAACAGCTCAGACAGTAACTCGTAGGAGAACCAACAATGCCTCCATAACGCCTCCATCCCTCTCCACACCTCTCTTCTTCTCCACCTATTTATCCTGGCAACCCTTCTCAGGTGGAGCATCTTCTCTCAATGCGTGCTGATGTAATCCAGCTGGCGTTAAGTTGACCACTAGTTATCAAACCATAACAACAATGTTCCTAGAATTGGCCGACCAAGGGCTATACATTGGCTAACCACCCTCTGTAAAATGCCTCTGACCTCAAGCAAAGGGGAACAAAGGCCCATCTTGTTTCTGTTTCTCATCACTATGTACTTAAATGATCAATGAGCTAATCATAAATGAACTATAAAAATCAGTCAAAATTCTAACTCAGTTGCACAGTTTTGCAAATTCCATCTGCACTGTGTTGCTGGGCCAGCTACAATAAAAGTGCTTCTTTTAGAAAAACGTCTTGCCCCATTTACCATCTCGGGAGTCTTGCTCTGTTTTTCATCATGGGGCTTTATTTTTTGTGTGGGTTACAACATTTAGGGGCTCATCCGGGATTACACAGGGACCCTTCCCCACATTTTTTCACCAATGGATTGGCTTGAACCATCTGTAAGTATTTGGGTCTTTTGTTCTTTGTAATTTGAGTGCACGTGTTTAAAGTGGCAGAAGAGTTTGGCTGGCTCCTTCTGCACTGAAGTGGGATGCCCTCCAGGAAAGGGCTTCTAGCCCATTTGTGATTTGGGATTTTTTATCCATTTGGTTTTGTGCTTGGTATATTTTTATTGTGGAGCCATTTGTTCATTTGAATCTGTTACCTCAGTACTAACATTCAAGTTTCTTTTATTTCTCTTAAACTACTGTTGCAGATTCCATGTGGCTTATTGGACTTAAGGGTCATAATGAAAATGTATTTCCCTTTAGCTCACCGAACCTCAGACAGAAAAACCTTTGTGTCTTTAAGGTTGGTCTTGTCTTTTGTGGTGCCTTGTTTAATGTTCTAGTCTTCAACTGATTATGGATAACCTTGGCATGCCTTTAGAAGTATTTTTCTTTCTGGTTAAAATGTAAAATATATATATATATACACATATGCATATTTACACACATATATACGTTTATGGGGGGGGTTGTCTTTTTCCTTTTTACCGGTACTGAGGATTGAACTCACAACTGCCTGCTTGCAAGGCAGGCACTTATGCCACTGAGCTAAATCCCCAGCCCCACGTTTATGGTTTTTAAAATCATATTGACTTTACCAAGTAAAGCCAGATCACACTGTTATTGAGCCAATTTGAAAAGTTACAGTTTTTAAAATGTAACATTTTAAGATGGTAAAAAGATGTAAAATGATTTAATATATTTTAGACTACTAAAAAAGTCACTTCAAGGATTTTGTTAAAAGTTCTAATGTTGTCTAAAAGCTAGAAAATGATCCGTCCTGTGGATCGGTCCATGGGCCTCACCTGGAGAGGGGATGGAGATGAAGGGCTGGGCAAGAGAAAAGAGAGACAGAGACTTGGGATTCCATTCAAGTCTCATTTAGTCTTAAAATGGCTACAACTTACATAGGGGGAGGTGGGCCAATGGGGTAGGAAGAGGGCATGGAGGGTTATCTGATAGGTCATCATCACATTCGGATATATGATGAAAGCAGGAGAGGATTATGGGTAATGTAGGCAGACGTGAGGATCATGGAAAATGTAGGCTGAAGCAGGAAGTTGCTTACATCATGTGCATTGTAGGCAAGGGGAGGCTCATGGGAAATGTAGGCTGACACACAAAATGCCCTCAGGTGGGAGGGGCAAGGCAGCAGCAGCCATTCTGAGCCGCTCCCTACATCTCCTCCCTTATTGTTATATATTTTTTAGGGATATGGCAGGCCCTGGGAGGGCAGCGCCTGTCTTGGGTCAAGGACTCCTCATATGAACCCAATCGAGCCTTACCCACCGTGGGCCTGCAGGACAGCTGTTGGTCCTAGGCCTGTCTTAGGTGGCCGATTAGCGCTACATATGTGTCCTAGTTGCCCGTCTCTGGCTGCCTGTCCAGTACCTCAGGGCATTTGGGCCACAGTATCATGTGGGCCATCGGTGGGTGTTCTTTCCTGATAAGTTTGTTGTTCTGCCATTTCTAATCGGTGGTAATGTACCTGAATGGGCTTTGCCATAAATGTGTCAATCCTGTTATTAATGTTATTAATGAGCACCATGATCCTCTGAAAATTACAAGGTACTACAGTAAGCAGTAACAGCAAGGCAGCTAGGGGTCCCAAGAGGGGGGCAATGTAAGGGAAGAGACCCCCCACATGGAGGAGAAGGTGGTTTCTCTGAGGTGCTCTTTTTCTCTCTCTTTGAGGTGCTCTCTTAGTTTATTCATGGACTCTTTGATGACTCCTGAGTGGTCAGCATAAAAACAACACTCTTCCTTGAGGGCAGCACATAGGCCACCCTCCTTCATAAATAGGAGGTCTAGCCTTCTTCTATTCTGTAGAACTACCTCAGATAGAGAGGTCAGGGATGCCTGTAGAGCCGTCACAGATGTTTCTATTTCTTTTAAATCTTGATCTACTGCTGCCTGTAATTGAGCTAGATGCTGATTTCCCAGCACTAGAGCTGTAGTCCCTGTTCCTATTCCTGTTGCAACTCCTAACCCTAGTAATACAGCTAAGGTGAGTGTCACGGGTTCTCTCTTATACATATAGCTGGTCTGCAATGCCTGGAGGTAGTAGTGTCCTGGGTAGAAGATTATGCGAGGAAGAACCTGTATAAGAACACAAAAATCTGTAGACTTGTTAAAAACAGTAGTTGCTATACAGGGTGAGAGGCCAAAATTGCAGGCCCAAGACATTCCTGGGGGTGGAATGAGGTAATCATTTGGCTTGAACTCTGAATGAAGCTGGGCACAGAGTCATGCTGCCAGTGCTGGTGGACAGCTGGAGTCCCCAGACAGGTCCCTCTACCTGAGATGTCAGGGAGAGTCAGCTTGTGGTGATTGCCCCAGTCACAGGCAGATGAGCTAGAAGAACTGTTAAAGGTTAAATTCAGGGCCTTTCTTCATAATATGGGGGAGGAGCAGCCAAGCATAACCAACAGGATTGGGTGAGATCAGGTTGGGTATGATTTAAAGCCATGTATGCCACTTTAATCAAACTGAATAGGGTATAATGTGAATATGGAGGGGCAGGTATATGATCTGCCTGGTGTAGGGGGGCTTGAGAAACACTTATGGTTGGGTCACTTACTGTGATTGTTTGAACAGCAGTAACAGGACCTGTATTGGACTGATTGTATTTTGGATTTGGATTATATTTTGGCTTTAGAGCAGGATTTGGGCCTATGGGCATGGATGAAATCTGTAGGGGAACCTTTTTTATGAGAATAAGATTTCCCCTGTCTTTGCCTGACTCATAAACTCGAAGTCCTGTCAACCAGCCAGGGTCTTCAGGAGTGGTGACAGTGACGTTTAGAAACGTACTAGGTCTTTGATTGGCCGGTGGGTAGTCATCTAGGCTGCACCCCGGCGGCCCCAATGACAGTTTAAGGTGTTTATCGGGGAAGGCGGGTTGCCATCCTGTTGCAACTGTTTCGCAGCCCCAAACAAGCATAAAAATATTCTCCCGGGGAATTACAATATGATCTGCCTCCTGTTGCTGCAAGAGAAAGGTAGAATTGACTTTGTCTGGGACATTGGAGCCCCAGAAAGAACCAACAGGGTGTGGGCGCAAACCATGGACTTCCTGATCCTACCCAAGTCCAAACCACCTCTTGGTCTTTAGCGACTAAGCTCCCATTTCTTTTTTCTTTGTTTTTTTTTTTGTTTTGTTTTGTTTTTTTTTTTTTTTTTTTTACCTCGACTTGTAAGAATGGATAAGCTCCCATTTCCAGCATAGATAGGGCGGTACAGAGAAGGGAGCGTGGCAGTGCCATTTTTTTTTTGTCTTTTTTAATAAAAACAACCCTACATTTATTGCCCCCAGTAAAAACATAAGGGTAGACAAAACAATATGACCAAACATTTTACAAATACTCCCAAGGCAAACCACTTAATCAGCTGCCTTTTTAATATGGGTATACACTGTAATTGACATTTATCTTAATTGCCTGCCATTGCTTCTCACTGCTGTCTTAATTCACTGATCATTTCTAGTTGGAGACAGTTTGCAGCAGAATAGTATTATCTCCTTTCAGCATGATCCGACCCAGTTGTTTTCTTGACTTGGTTTTAGAATGAATTTCTTCTGCATCATCTAATACAAGGTTCATGTACTCATCAAAACCAATAATACAGCCCTCTATCTGCATATTCACTTGCTCATATAGCCACACCTGAATCTGGGATCTATTCTGCAAGTATCTGAAGATGAGGTTGATGGGCTGTACCATCACCTTCTGCACTTTCTGGCCCTGGCCCCTGTATGCCATGGCAGAACCGGACAGGGACCACAGCACCCACCACGCTAGCTCTAATGGCAACTTTTTTTTTTAATCGGTACCAGGGATCGAACTCATGACCTTAGACTTGCAAGGCACGCGCTTATGCCGCTGAGCTAAATCCCCAGCCCCCATTTTTTTTTCACCACCAGAGTCAGTATGGAGGCGGCGCCATTTTGAGTATCAGGTGGTGTACACCATTTTGAGAACCCTCGTGGTCTCCAGACAAAGGGAGTGGCAGCACATCACCATCTTGAAAAGGCTCTGGGATACCAAGGACCACAGAGCCGGGAGGTCTGGGTGCCTTAGATAAGTCCAGTGGTGGCGGAGTACAATTGCGGGAGGCAGCTAACACAGCCTCACCCTGAGCGAGCGTCTCTGCGACCTGGGGATCTGCGTGACATTGTGTCAGCAGCTCAGAGATTAAAGTCCAATATGAAAAGGTGGTTACCAGAATCTTTTGTGGGCCAAAAACCTCATAATAGTCTTTGAGAGCATCTCCTACTCTTGTTTGAATCAATGCTGCCCTCTAGGGAAAACCATGGACACACTGAATGTCAAATCTTTTGTCTTAACCTTAATCCTTCTAATCTTGAGTGCCTCCCTGAGGCCATCCATGAACAATTTGGGCTCACTAAGTGCTTGCCCATGCTAATCCCGTTCACCTACCATGATTCAGGTGAGACATAAGGTGGCCATCTGCACAGATCACAAGAACGAAGTCCCGAAACAGTCACACCGGCCAGCACTTTACCCCCATGAACGGTCCCGTGTCGTTATCCCTTGTGCCAGGTCTGCCCCACGGTTGAGCGCCACTTGATCCGTCCCGCAGATCGGTCTGTGGGCCTCGCCTGGAGAGGGAAAGGAGATGAAGGGCTGGGCAAGAGAAAAGAGAGACAGAGACTTGGCGGGATTCCATTCAAGTCTCATTTATTCTTAAAATGGCTACAACTTATATAGGGTGGAAGCGGGCCAATGGGGCAGGAAGAGGGCATGGAGTGTTATCTGATAGGTCACCATCACATCTGGATATATGACATAAGCAGGAGAGGAATTATGGGTAATGTAGGCAGATATGAGGATCATGGGAAATGGAGGCTGAAGCGGGAAGTTGCTTACATCACGCGCATTGTAGGCAACGGGAGGATCATGGGAAATGCAGGCTGACACACAAAATGCCCTCAGGTGGGAGGGGCAGGGCAGCAGCAGCCATTCTGAGCTGATCCCTACAAGAAAAAAGGTAATGGGCTGGCTTTAGCCCAGCATTTCCTTCGAGTCTGGCTTCCCAACCGCCCAGGCCAATTGGTCCAGTGGTTCGAGACCCGCAGGCACTCTCCAGTCCTTTTAAAAGAAGAAAAAGAAAAAGAAAAAAGGTAATTGACTGATAATAAATAAAAGACAGATAAAACAAATGTGTTCAGAATTTGACAGAATTGGATCAGTAAACCTTTACTGCAAAATGTTTCCATTAAAATAAGATTATATGATAAAAAGGGAGAAAATCTGTCTTCTCCATTGATCACCCCACTTGGGACGACTGCCAGCAGATTTTGCAGGTTTTATTTAGAGTAAAAGAGAGAAAAAACATTCATGCTGTGGGATAAAAAGCAGTGTGCATTCCAGATAAAAATCCATCCTCTGACCCTAAATGCCAGAACCGTGTTTTCCCTTTGTCCCACCCCGATTAGACAACCAGAGGTAAAAAGGCTCTCATTCAGTATCGCCAGTTGCTCTTGGAAGCCTTTGAGGGCTGCCAGAAAACCCACCAAGTTGTCTAAGGTAGCAGAGGTGAGACAATTAGATGATGAGTCTCCCTTGGGTTTTCTAGAGAGATAGAGAGATTGCTAGGAGATTTTAATTTATACACCTATAGATCTGGTAGCACCTAAAAAGCAAGGGCCATTAGTAATGTCTTTGTAACTGTCAACCCCTGATATTAAATGAAAATTGCAAAGGCTTGAAAGATTTAAGGAAATGCCTCTCAGTTAGTTATTAGAGTTTGCTTAAAACTGACTCTTTCCTCCCAGCTGGTGCAAGCCATTCAACAGATTCCAGTTCCTGTGACTAGAAAGCAAGTGTGAGAATTTCTAGGAGCCATAGGATATTGCCTGCTTTAGGTTATAGACTCACGAGACCAGGCTTTTAAGCAACGAAAATCAGCCTTAACAGAGGCTCCAGTTCTGGCTCTGCCAAAGTTGCAAAAATCTCTTTCCCTCTATGTTGATAAAAAGCAAGGGATTAGAAAAAGGAGTACTAACCCAGAGTTTATGACCATGGCAAAGGCCTGTTGCCTATCTTTCCAAGAAACTTGATAATGTGGCAGCCAGATGACTGCCTTGCCTGCAGATGATTGCCTCGGTGGCCCTGCTGGTGAAAAAGGCCCAAAAGTTGACATTTGGACAAAAACTTTTAATTATCTCCTCTCATTCACTGGAGACTCTCATCAAAGCTCCCCCAGACTGATGGCTGCCTAACTCCCGAGTCATGCACTATCAGGCATTACTTCTGTATCTTACTACCATGAGTTTCAAGGGGACAGTGGCTTTAAACCCAGCTACTCTGCTACCTGATGATGACCCCTCCTTGCCCCTCTGATCACCTCAAGGGGCTTCGACCAGACTTGACAGATGAGCCACTGTCCGGAGTTCCATCGTATTTCTCCGATGGAAGCAGTCACACCTATCAAGGTAAGCGGGTCATGGGAGCTGCCATTATGGACTCTCAGATTCTATGGGAACAAACCTTGGGGTCAAAAACATTGGCCCAATGGGCTGAACTCATTGCCCTCACTGAGGCCCTCAAGTTGTCAGACTGATAGCATTTGCTACTGTCCATGTTCGTGGGACCATTTATCAGGAATGAGGTTTATTGACTTAAGGGGGCCAAAAGACCAAAATGCTCCCCAAATTTCGGATTTGTTAGCTGCCATTTGGATACTGAAGAAGGTGGCTATTAAATAATTTAGCAGATTCTGCTGCCCGAAAAGCAGCCACAAAATCAATGGGGATTGAGGCAGCCCCAGCATTGCTGCTGATTCCATCTACTCTATCAGAGCCTTTTTACACTAAAAAAACTTACATTTGGCAGCTCAACTCCAAGCAAAGCCTGATATCTCCGGGGTCTGGTACCAACTGTCTGATAAGTGAGTCCTCCTCCCTGAGGCCTTGAGACAAAAACTCATCCAACAAGCTCATCAGTCCACTCACATGGGAGGATCAAAACTCGCTGCTCTTTTTGAGATCATTTCTTTACCCTTCAGTTATTAAATCTTACTCAGTCTGTGAGCCTTAGATGCCCTCAGTGCCAGTTGGTAAACCCAAAGCAGGTGCAACAAATGGTAACCACTCATTATCGTGAGACTATGCCTAGAAAATATTGGGAAATAGAGTTCACAAAAATGGGAAAGCCGAAGTTCAGGGGCCGGGACTCCAAGTAGCAGCCAGGACTGCACCACTGCACCAGAGCAGATGTACAAAGCTCTGGCATTTCAAATCTAAACGGTGCACAGATATCTGACCGGTCAGCGCTGTGCCGGGAGCGCACGCTGTGCACCATTCCGCGCTGTGCGGGGAGTGCGGGAAGGGTGGGCAGCTTGGTGTGCAGTGGTCCCGGAATGAGGACCCGCTCCGGACTCTAGTGAGTACTGGGAACCCCACGGCTGCTGGGGTTGGCCAGAGAACAGCTGGCCCGCCACCACGGGGAAATCAATAACACAGAGTCTGGTGCAGACATTTTAGCCTGGCGGCAGAAACTGCAGCGTGGTGACATCACCAGGTCCCCCTGTAGGGAAGGCTGGTGGAAGACATCTTGAATCCTGGCAGAGCCTGATTACTTGCTGGCTTCAGCTCCACACAGAGAACTTAGTGGGAGACATCTTGGTTTTGGGCAGATCTGCTTTTCTGGTGCTCCTGTCACAGAGAGGATTGGAAGAGAACGGCTGGGATTTGGGCAGAACCCTATGCCATAGTGACATTACTCAGCTGCTTCTGGTACAAAGAGAACTGGCAGGAGCTACTGGGGCTAAACCAAGCCTCTGCTTGGGGCCCAATAAGCGGATACAAAATAGTCACAACTCAGTGACAACCAGAAAGTACAGCCTAATTTAGGAACTAATTGGCACAGAGGCTAGAGACTAGCCTGTACCGCCCCTGCATCCCAGCCTACCCCAGATAACAGTAAATTGGGGAGGACGGCAAAAACTCAAGCCAGCACACTTCTGAAAGGCCCTAAGCAATTCGGAGAGGGCCAGAGAACTCCAGGACAGTCTGAAAGAAACCAGAAACATGACAAGAGATAAAAATAAAAAAAATTTCCAGCTGCCCAACAGGAGAAAATAAGCCCAGGAGAACTAAACACTGAAGAGAACAAGCACAGTAACCATCCACTACTCGACACAGCATCAGCCGAAATTAAAAAGTACCTACATGATCTCATAGAGGAATTTAAAGCTGTACTCCTGATCCAAGTGAGGCAAGATATAAAGAGATTAATTAAAGAAATGACAAGCCCCGCCCAAGAGAACACAGATGGAAGAACTGAGGAAATCAGAAAAGAAAGAGAAGCATCTGAAGAAGAATTTAAGCATAACTTAGAATACATGAAACAGATCCAAAGAGAATATCAGGAAACTAAAAACTCCATTGAACATTGGCAAAATGCCTTGACAGAAACTAAAGACAGCCTTCTGAAACTTGAAGAGAGATTTAGGGCATATGAACATGAAAGAAAAAGCCTCTTAAAAATAACAAGGAACCAGAAAGAAGCAATTCTAAAACTGGAAGATGACAAAAAGATACATAACCTAAGAATAAAGAATGTGAGTGAGGAAGCAGGAACATCCAAAAATGAAATACAAAAAATATTCACAGATACATTAAAGCAAAATTTCCCATGTATAGCAAAAAGAAATGATATCCAGATAAAAGAAGCATACAGAACACCAGCTACCTACAACCAAAACAGATCTACGCCTAGACATATAATAATCGAGATCCCAGAAATCCACCAAAAAAACAGAATATTAAAAGCAGCCAGAGAAAAGATGCAGGTTACCTATAACGGGAAATCTATCAAAATAACAGCAGACTTATCGACACAAACTCTTAAGTCAAGAAGGGAGTGGGGAGAAATATTCCAAGTCCTGAAAGAAAAAAATATGTAACCAAAGTTCATACATCCATCAAAACTCTCTCTAAAAATTAATGAAGAAATAAGATACTTTCAAGACAAGGAGGAACGGGCTGGGGATTTAGCTCAGCGGCATAAGCGCCTGCCTTGTAAGTAGGCAGTCGTGAGTTCAATCCCTGGTACCGATAAAAACAAAAAAGACAAAAAAAAAATACAAGGAGGAACTGTGGGAGTTCATGGCCACCAATCCAACCCTACAGAGAGCGCTGAAGGACATTACAGAGAAAGAGAGGAAGAGATATCAAGATTCCAGCAACAGTGGCAGAGAGGCCTCAGTGAACGGGGCAGACAATGGAATGAGGGAATAAGGTGGACAAATTATAGCAGAAAAGTGGAGTAGCAGACATGAGGCAGAGACGTAAGCTAGTCTTTAGTATAGACAGCTCTGAAACTATATTTAAAAAAAAAAGCAGAGGTCGTTGCTAATGGTGTATAATGATTTAAAAGACACAGTAGTCCTAGTGCCATATTTAGATTGAATTTAATTTGTTCTGGTCTGTCCACTCATGTCAGATTTGAGGACACAGACCTCTAGAACCAAAAATAGCAGGTTATACCATGGTAACTATCCTTACTTTCCTATTGACTTAGGCTGAAATCCTGTATTACTTACATTGTCTTACTATGACTGATCTTAATTGTATCTGAATCATAAGACTATTGGTTGGCCTTGACTGATTCTATTTGAAATTGGTATGCTTGTTAGAATCAACCCTAAAAGTAGAGGAAACTACTCTGAGCATGACAAGATGTAAAGGATATCCATACTGGTATGAATCAGTAACAGCTCTCAAATCCTACAATGCAGTCAAAGATAAGTTTTTATAAAAATAGGTGATAGTATGTTTAACTATAATAAGCCAGTGTTGTGGACAAATCTATTGAAAATAACAAGAGAAAACATAGTAGCTACGGAAGATCATTTATATTGTAGTTTTATATGTCTTATCCGTTGCATGTTTTTCTAGGAAATTGTTTTGCTGTCTTGCTATGACTTGGTTTTCCCTATAATACAGAGAGGATAGATATATAGGTAGAAATTCACACATGGGTTTTTTTTCTTAAATTATTTACAGGAACAGATTATATAATGCAAGATGTAAGGAACAAATACTCTGAGGAAGAGACACTGAGAAACCCGAGGCTTATTTTGT